TTCTTAGAGATATTTTCACCCTAAACCATTCCTGACGAATAAAGATTTGGAGAAGATTGCTATTTTCCTGCCAAAAATCCATTTACCCTTCTTCCTGGGAATAGTCTGGATGATATTCCCCAGTTAGATAAGGCCATCTGAAAAATTCGGGCCAAGAGACAAGAGCAGAAGCGAAGTGTGCCACCTCAGGGTGTGTGTGCTCTTTCTAGGAGCTATGGGGCAGGCAGGGTGGTGGCCCCAGCTTTGATCTCGCACACGGCGACAGTGTCCTGGGGAATGTGTCTTCTCCCAACCACAGCTGCCCTGACAGCCTGGCCTGCTCCCTTTGGAACAGTCAAGTGAGAGAGAAATCAGCTTCTGTTACAAGCTTAGCTAAACTATGAAAATCGCACTGTCTATTCCTGTAGGTTCCCGGTGCTTTCTAAACCCGTCTAATCATCTCTCTGCAAATCACCGCTATTCTGAGCAGCACTGGCTTCTGCCAACAGCCACGATCGATAATGTGGAAAGGTAATGAAAAATCTGTCAGAGGAAACGACTTTATATTGAAACGTTTAACGCACATCTTCAATCTCTCTTCTAATTCCGTCCTAGAATTCTGTGGAATAAGCAGTGACTGAGGTTTCCGTTTCAGGTGTCTACTGTTTATTGAGATAGGAGTGCTGTTTAGATTTTAAGTAAAAAATCTGTTAAGTCCCCCTAGGTCTGGCACTTTTCGGCGAGATGGCAAAGAGACAGTGAAGTGACAGCTAAGAATTTCCTCACAGTGTTCTCTCACTTCTTCATTCCTATTACATCACCAGGACAGGTCAAATTTCACTGTAAGAAACAAAAGGTGTGACTGTCTCCTGTTGGTCATTAGAACTGAAGGCTTTATCTGAGTTTATTTTACAAATGGGCCGCACAGGTGTTACACGACCCACTGGTACAAATTTCCTTCACAATTACCTACTTTGCACACCATAAAACCACAGAGTCTACATTTACCCAGTGGAGACATAACACACATTCATTACAGGAGAATACAGGAGAGGGATTCCAAAAGACAGTTGTCACATTTGTACTAGACCTATCTATGTGTACTGGAATTTGGAGTCTTCAATGAAGAACTGATATTTGAATGACTTCACAATTAGCACATCTCGGTGAACCAGAAAACTAAATAGGAAAAGCAAAAGGAAGACACTGGCCAGTACCTACTCAAAGGCATTACATATGGCAGAGAGGAAGCAAACTATTAACCAGGCAATGACAAATCAACTGCAATTCTAAGGACTAAGATAGCTAACCTCAAGTTGTCTTGTCTTGTTTTGTTTTAATACGGCAATGCATACATTCAGAGGTCCCTTAATGGGACAGATTCAGCATTTCAGGATACCACCACAGAATGCAAAAAAGAAGACAAAGATGAAAGCAAAGAAAGCTCTCTGGTTGACCCAAAACTAAAGCTTAAGCATGTTACTCATAGCTGAGCATCCTAGTCTCAAATTAGAAACCCATTTCCTATGATCTTAGAGTCAATTCTGACAAGCACACTTGTTGGTGTGTTTAAGTCAACGGAGGAAATCATGATGGGCTGGAGGGAGGAGACAGGAAAAGTATAAAACACAACGATAACAGTCCTAGCGCTCTGAGGTCCTTTAAAGTACAAAGGGACTGTCACACCTCAGCATCTGCCAAGGCTTCCGGGCCATCCAGCCATGCCCATCGTGAAAGCCCTTAGTCATGAAAAAAGGAAGATTAAACTATATTCAGTTCTTTTACAAAGGCAAATCAGTGCACCACAGATTGTTTCTTAAAGAATTTTATCAAAAGCAGTTTTGCTTTATATTTTACACAGAAATGGCTGTTCTATTAGAAAATTCACTTGTGAAAACCAGGCTAGATAACGGTTTTATCTGATGACAGTGAACTCTCTCTCTGACCTCTCCTCATGGAGTAACTGTCGCTGACCTAATTTACAGCATGAGGAAATAACGCTGCTCCTTTTCCCCCAATAGATCTGTTTGGAATTGATTTGTGTGACTTGCCCAGCCCCCATTGACCAATGTCGTAAGGCTGCAGCCCGTCCTGTTGAACACAACAATCCTAAGCATGCTTGAAATCGGTCCAGCATTTCCTTCCCAACCAGGCTATAGAAAGAACACACAGCAGAACTAGGAATTGCTGTACACTGGCCTTGAGGTAGGTGCAACCCCTAAAGCAAGTCAGAGCAAGTCAGACAAGGCCACACCTTCACAGTTGCTTCAGGTTAATGGAAGTTCTATTTTTAAATAAGTTTTCTTAGTTTAGTTCTCAAGATGTTTGAAAGATGACACAAAGATAGCATCAAATTCTACTTTTGGGGTTTCAAAATCTATTTTTTTCCATTACAGACTTTACTGTCTTTTTTTAACACCACTTCTCTTTAAAATGCTCGGGATTACTTTGTTCGTGGTAACTCCCAATTAATTGTCGACTCCAGTCATTTTTATTTAATTTCACATCCACCAAATAAGTATTTCCCAAAGCTCCCGCTTTCCTTCAAGTTATTCTTTCATTCAACAAATATTTACTAAGTGTTTGCTCTGCTAGTTACTGGGTTGGAACCAAGGGATTCAGCAGGGAACATAACATATAGTCCTTGTCTATTGCACTTAGTACATTTAGGGAACGAAACTGAATTAGATGCCATCAAGTTGCTTGGTGCCTCTTTGAGATGGTTATAGACACTCCAGGAATGTCAAAAATAGTAATAAGGTGTGGGCTTAAGATTTCAGGCGACAAGTAAGTGTTAAGTGTGAACATGTTACACATTTGAAATACACACTTGAATTTATCCAGTATGTTTACCTGCATATTAAATTATCAGATGTCCAAAGGTTTAAATCTGTTTTTATTCTGTAACACTTTTCCTCCATATGAGCACACTGAATACCATGGTAAAATTTTAAGAGTTCAACTTTCTCACCTTTTATGGGAAGAGGGAAAACACATAAAACAAGTTTTAATGAAGTAGTGAGATTAGCTCAAGATCCATTTTTTTTTAAATACCAAAGTTATAAAGAAAACAGTGCAACATAAGGACTATTTACCCAAACTGAGGCTTACCAGTTCTGATGTTCAAGGAATCCTAAGGCATCTCCTCTCCCTTACAGAATGTGGTATCTGAAGAAAGGCTTTGTGCCTAATGAAAATTTTGGCATATAAACCACATGGGCTACAAGTTCAGAAAAATATAATTAAAGAATCACATGTAAAAAAAAAAAAAAAGAATCGTATGTACATGTCCTTCTGGCACTTATCAATAGGTTTACTGCTTAGTCCAATTAAACATGAAAATGAGTACATTTTCTTATCTTACAGAAATATGAATGGAAAATGAACCAGATTCAAGAAATTAGGTTTTTGCCAAAATGTTGAAGTATTATGCCATGTAATTTTTAAAAATGAAACAGTAATTTAAAAAAAATCACACTAATAGTGATTTGTATCAGTTTTTATCCATGGACCACCCTAGTAAAATTTTCAAGTTAATAGTATGATTTTCACACTAATTTACCTGAAACCACAGTTGGACTGACTTGAGAGATTTTACCCTCCTCCTGCAGACTTTATGGGGAAGGGAGTAAACTCTAAAGAAACTTTAGCTCACAGCCATCAAGTGTTTCCTTCATACAGTTTTGAGCCTCTTAGCTACTATAAAGAGTATCTGAAGGAATAAACTTTAATAAACTTTAATAAAATCTGTTTGCTGAAAAGGAAATTAAGAGTCAACCACATTTGCACCTCTTCAGCTGCTTGTCTTCAGTGATCCAGGATGGCTGCTAATACATAGAACTGGTTCGGCCGTAGAGAATACACACTGAACCTAAGGGAGAGGCCAATACTACAGTTCTTCAAAAAATCAAGCCATAGATAGGACAGGAAAGACATAACAAACCTTTTAGGCAAGACAACTAAAAAAAAAACATGCTGCCATGCAATACAACCTTAAGATTCATTAAAATTTTTCAAACACATCACCCTTGAGAATCTAAATCAAGGACTTGGGATTCTAATTGGAAAATGAAACAGAACCCAGAAGAATTTGTTTCTTCAAAAACAGTAATGCGGTTATAGATGGCTTTTTAGGAAATTCTATCTAATTTGTCTATTCATTTGTGTAAGTTTTAAGCAGACCCAAATTTTATACATGTGTAAATTAAGGGGAAAAGAGGAAAAGAAGCATATTTAGACAGGTAATTCCAATAAAATAATTTCTTTCCCAAGTTAATCAGTGAAGCCATGAAGCAAACCTCTTCTTACCCAAAAAACCAGAGACACATGATTAGCTAACATTTAAAATAAATTCATTAGTTAACATTTAAAGGAAATTGTCCTGATAACCAATGGCTTTCTTCCAAAAATGTGATTAAGCAATGAACTCAAGCTCAAATGTGTCTATAACCGTGAAATATAAACATACGAACTATCAACTGTAAAGTAAAACATCTGAACTAGCTGCTTTTATTCTGCAATAAACAACATACCCAGATTATGTCTACAGGTGTACTTATCCACTAAATCCAATAACACATCTCAAAATTAAGAGATTCCCATGGTCTCAAGATGCCAGACTGGATAAAAATTAGGACACTGTTTTGGTTACGCCCTGAAACATTTAAATCTGTGCTGAGAGTAAGTGAAACACAAAACTATGATAATTAAACGCTGTGCTGGTTAACATAGTACTTGCTCTTCCTTGTTTATTAGCCAACAGGTACCTCTATAGTTTTAGACAGGAATTGTAACTAGAAATAATGAGAGCAATGTCCTGAATTACTCCATCTTTAAAAGTATATTTAACTAAGACTTATCCTTTGAAATTACTAATGATTATCCTACCCTGTTCATGTGAGAACTTAAGAAATTTCCCTCTTAATTCTGTGACATCTTTACACATGAGAAAAAATGGTATACATGTAAGAGACGCTCCTACAAGTGTCACGTCTTAATTGAAAAACCACCTTGGCCAAAAAGACGTTGTAAAAGTAAAATTACACATTTTATTCATTCATTCCATCAGCTGAGAATCGCTCTATTGTACAAATACAGTATTGTACAAAAAAAATCACAAAATGTTACAAAATAAAAAAAAGTACAAACTGCAGTACTTAATAAATATGACTAGAAGTAAAGTGGAAATGAGATAGATTTTAGGTTGAACAATGTTTGACCCAGCAAACCATACAAGATCTGTTTTTACAGACATTTTTATTTGTACATAATACAGGGCAATCCTATTTTGCTTTTTCAAAGAATTTAAAAGGAATAAAATATTAAGACAGTATTCTCCTGCTATAAAACAACTGCCAAGGTTGATTCGAGGCATTTATGCTAGTAATTTCTTAAATCTCTTAGTTGAATCCAAGAAGCTATATAAAGCAGGAGGCTTATCTTGTCACAAGGTTAAAATGCTTTTATAACAAAATGACAAATATAAATAAAAACAATCAGAGTGCCAGACAATCTACTCTAAATGCCAACCAAAGTACAGAATAGTCATCACTCTGCCATCAGCAAATATCAGACTTTCATTCAAGTAAGACCTGGTACTATCCCTTAAAGAAAATTCTTCCTACAACCTTCCCTTTTCTCTTTAAAAGGTTGAGCATTTCTAGAAAAATAATGATTTCCAAAACAACAATTGTTTTTCATTAAAACGGAATGGGCCAATGATCTGGTAACACAAATGCATCAATATCCATTTGAAATAATTATCTAAGAATCGTAAAATTCAAATAGAACAACATAAAATAACTACTAAATCAGAAACTCTGTTCAAAGTAATAAACTTCATATAAAGCACTTCTCTGGCTTTATGCTGGAAAGCTGTTTGTCAAAATGGAACACGTCATAGATGAAGGTAACACCAATTTTTAAAAATGTTGTGCAAAAATACATTTTTATAGAAAACAGATGATCAGGAATGAACAAATTTACACCGTGAGAAACTAGCTTGCAAATTAAGTAGTGGCCAACTTTATACAGCAAATTATAAATAGCAGTAGGATCACCCAAAGCCATCATGAAACATCATTTAGGTGCCCAGCAACCTTCAGCTCTGAGGAGAAAACATTCCAAAAATGATTAAGGCATTACACCTATGGTAAATCTACTAGGAAGTTTAAAAGTGCTATTACCCTGATTAGAGTTCATAATTCTCCCAACACAAATTATGTATGCAATTCTCCCAGAGTGTAGGTTTCCAGACACTTCAAGAGCATGCATTTTGTTCAATATACATTTTGGATAGGGATATGGCCATGGATTTGGCAAGTTCTTCATCGCGTTTTCTTTGCACTTGAGTCTGTCTGCACCAATTGTCATACTCTGGGTTGGGATAGGAGTGATCAAACACCGCATCATAATGTCCATTACTGAGCCAACTGAGCCAAATGCTAGGCCTTAGGGAATCCTCTGGGCCCAAATAGTGAATCATGGTAGACACTGTGGGGCTCTCCAACCTCCCTCCAGTAGTTAAATGTATATTCACATTCAACATCTGCCCCATGGCCAGCAATTCCGGGTAGCCGGCCCACGCCCCGTCTTGAGCAGCAGCGATGATGAACTCCCCCACGTCGCCCTCAATCAGGGGGCTAAAGTGGTCGAGATGATCGGCGATGTAATGCACGGTCTGTTCCCTCAGCTCCCGGTGCAGGCTCTGGTCTCCGTACACCGTTTTGCTGACCGCTCGGTAGAGGCAGTTGCCGTCGGGAATGATGTGAAATCGGTACTTACTCCTCTGTCGCAGGTACTTGTCCTGCCTCTCCACCTCCGCCAGGTACAGGGCCAGTTTCTCGTCTCTGGGATCCGACCTGGAGGCGATCACCGCCTCGGCCGCGCCGCTCGGGGCCGCGTCGCCGCTCCGCGCCGGGGGCGCCTCCGCCTCCGGGTCGGGCCGCCGTGCCTCTTCCGCGCCGGGAGGGTCGCTGCGGTCGCCCGCCCTCTCCCAGCCCCGGAGACTCCTCTCTGCCGGGTGCTCCTCGCCCCACGGCCCGGGGCTAGGCTCCGGGCTCCCCGGGGGTGGCGCGGGGCCTCGGTGCTTGGCGGCGGCCAGGGCCTGGCGGTGCTCGCTCAGTCGGAAGTTTCTGTCGGGACCCTCCCGGGCCGCGTTCAGGCCCGCAGGCTCGGGGCAGTCGGGCCTCAGCAGCTCCTCCAGGAGCCAGGCCGAGGAGCCCCGGCGCGGTGGGACCGGGGCGCCGGGCGCCGG